GGGGGGGTTCGAAAGGACCGCCCCTTTAGCTGGGAAAAGGTCCACTTTTTCAGAAAGAGAACCCCCCTTTTTAAATTGCTGACTACGGGCCTGATGCGAACCTGATATGTATGTATTACCCGCTCTCTCCCGCCTGACAACTTCGCGCATGTCTTAGATTAAAGTGATAATAACTCTTTGTTTCGGCCAAAAAATGAATTTTCCTGGAGTAAACAACAATTTCTTAAGAGATTTTAACAGAGTATAGCCATCAATGGAGGTCACGTGGTCTAAAGACAAGCTCAGATATCAGAATAATAGCTATAACTGCCATTTTTGCGGTAAAACATAATATATTGTTATTCACAATGTTTTTATTGTGAAATATAGATCTCATACGAAGAGTTATTATCCCTTTAATATCAACCAATAATTGTGATGTCTTCCGTCTTGGTTATAATTTACGTTACTGGTTTTTAGTATAAGCACTTAAGCACTGCGTACTTAAGTCTCATAACAGATAACAGAATAAACTAAATAAGAAAATATTCAAGCCAAAGACGGTTACTTAGTTAAGGAAGTCAGGTTGTTCAACATCTGATTAGAGTTAATCAGTAACCCGCCGGCGTACTACCGGCCACTTCAGCAAACATATTACGTGCTGAGGACGGCGTTATCAGTACACGCGTCGGTCACAGGTTGCCCATTTCTATACTAATAATCCAGCTAGTACTCCCCGACATTGCACTTTAACCGGGTACCACTATTTCACGAGAGATGCAGTCATGGGCATGTGACACGAGAGACGCGTTGAGAAGAAAAATGGCGAACAGTGCCAAACCGGCGTCTCGGACGACGTTAAGAGGCTGTGTGTTTCTCTGTGTGGTATGGCTGACTGTGGGCGCCGCCAAGGGACAGACACCTCAGAAATTGGACTGCAAGAAGGCGGGGCCGTGCACCTGTAACAGCGCCAACGGAGTGATCGACTTGACGCCTCTAGCTAACTCGGACAACACACCGCGGTAAGACTTGGACATGGACTTTTTATGTGATAACTTGCCTAATCTTACAAACATCTGATTTACTTTTATTATGTGTATTCTTAACATGTATTGCCGAGCTGTCAATGTTAATAAGTTTTGGATATAGCATTTTTCCATTTAACGTTCAAAGAAAGACGATTTCGATGGCCGGCTGGGGGGTGGAAAGGATGGGGGGGGGGTGTTGAATGTTACCTGACATGAAATTGGCCTGCCTATACTGGTTTATCGAAACATCACGAGGCAGCTGTCAACATGCCTAACAATTTATTGCGAAAAAGGACAAAAATCCTTATTAATATCTGTGAGTGATAAGTAAGACCAATGTTATAAGTATTGATTAAATAATTATCTTAAACAAAGGAGTGATAGTTGAATTGATCAATCATACTCATGAGATAATACAAATAACTTTGACATTAATATGTTTCCCGCACGGTTAAATAAAAGCACTGTCTCTAATACAATGGAAAGCGCTGGTGGTTAACTAAAATTATATTGCTTCAGTAAGAATTATACAGTCTCTATCAGTCATATCAAAACCTGTCATATCTACTTGACCTTCATGTAACTTGTCTTATTTACCAAGGGTATGTGCCTGTTTTCGACAAACCTAGTTTTATGTTTTATTTAGAATGGCCCCAGACGAGTTTTCTCTCGAACAATCATCTCATAGAAACTGATTTATATCTCCACCATATTTGACATGTACCATTTTCCTGGGGGAGGGTGGGGTGGGGTGGGGTGGAGGGTTACATGTAAGTACCCGACACACTGGACCAAAACATTATTGGCCATTTGATAAAAACATCTTACGGACCTAAAAGTTAACTGCATTTATATAGTATCAATTATAAACAGCGGGACCCAAAGAAATACTTTCCTTTGAATATCTTTCCATGGACCGATCATACGCTTGCATGATTAAAAAACTACCATTTGGCATTAATATAATAAAATAAAATAATAAAACTTAACAAAACGGGACAACACTACTAAAGTCACTGTATGAACGGTTAGGAGTAATTTCATAAATGTTCAGTTGTTTCCTTGTTGCGATTGATTGTGATGTATGAGGGCAAACAAATGCCTGTTATCTCAAAGAGAAAGGATTTGAATTCACACTAGGATTTTTTTAGACTGGAAATTGACCTAACTTGGGTCGCCGGACAACAGGACCTCCCCGTATTCTAATCGAATTTTAATTTTACGCGGGTACAGGAAACAATAAATGCATTTGGAACACCCAAACCCAGTAAAGAGGTGCAAATGAAGCCATAATTAAACAAATGAAGTTATAATTAAGCATGACTGAATCGCTATATAAATTGGAACACGATACAAAATACATAAATAAATAAAAAATTATATTCCGTTACACAACCGTGATAACCGGAACAACCTATCTACTTAGATACAGATATAGACATTGTAAAAGGTTACAAACAAATATAAATTTGAGATAGTCGTAGATTTTTGTTCTATACACAGACTGTATGTGTTTTCAAAAATAGAATAAAACCTCGAATTCAATTAATTTTGTTTTTGATACCCCAGCATGTGCAATGCACCTCTATATTGGGTTTGGGTGGGAAGCTGTGAGACACATCAAACGTTACCCGTTTTTCTTTCAGTTTCAAGGATGTACCTGGAGGCGGGGATTCATTTTCCTGGAATCCGTGCAATCCGTTTGACGAAGGAAGTGGGTGTGCCAAAGTCTCGGTAATTGATGTGCTCATTGGTATGGGTGAAGACCTGTGAATAACACGTTTTGTATTACCTCACATGTTCTTCTTCTTTTCCAATTTTGTATTCTGTCTCTCTTTCTCCTCATCTCTCTCTCTCTCTCTCTCTCTCTCTGTGTGTGTGTGTGTGTGTGTGTGTGTGTGAGAGAGAGAGAGAGAGAGAGAGAGAGAGAGAGAGAGAGAGTATGGAGAAAGCATTACAAATCAGGTAAAGAGATACTTCACAGAATAACAATATAATATTCAGCAGACTTTATCATGCTAGGCGTGCCAGAATCACGAGGGTTCTGCTCAGTATGCAATTGGGACGCAGGATTCTGCTGAGTTCATACTCGACCAGACACGTGGCCTAGAGCTCCACTACAAAGCAACGACCGACGTCACCCGGTAGTAGACAATGCAATACAGAACACTCTTCCCACAGGGTCCTCGTTTTGGTTTTACTGAAAACGAGTTCTTTGTGAGGATGGCGATTCTCTTGCATGGCTTTCATTATATATTAAACCTTTATATGCTTCTGCCTGTGGACATCCAGCTATGAAATAAGCCCTCTGCAGAAATATACGCCATGTGCTTCTTTTGTCAAAGGACAAGGGGAAGAATAAATTGAAAACAATTTCTATTATGAAAATAATTTAAAAAACGTTACTTTTGAAGCCTCAGCATATTTCAGCTTGCCATTTTAATTCCAACTGCAAATTGAGCTGAACGCATCGACTCCGTTTCTTGACTGAAATGGCGAAATGTTCAAATATCTTAGTACATTTCTGTCAACATTGGCATATTTTCCAGGCATGTCAGAATCATGCTGGCACGGACGACTACCCAATAGGGTTGCAAGAGTCAGCGGAATTTATAAACGATCCCACACGAGGCCTTGAAATCCATTATACTGCAACAACGGGTTTCACCCAAAGGTAGCCTCTCCTGCTCCAAATGTTTCAGTGAAATTTCGTGAATTATCCAGAAAAAATTATCAGTGTCATACACCAAACGTAAATGTGCAACAGATATATACATGCTTCGTGATGCAGGAAGGCTTGTTTTATTTCAAATTTAACTTTTTGGACAGGTTTGCGTTTGATTATTGAATTTTAACGCACTCACGCTACGAGAATACCCCTATTTATATTTATTTTTAATGCCAGAAAAATTAATGAGAAAATTGATATTTTCAATGTTTAAAACAAGCATTATGATTTCGACTTTAATTTGTAATTATCTTTGTTTAAATCAAAAATTAAATGCTTATTTTTTTCTTATGATCAAAACACGGATTCACAAATTTTTAGCGCAATGGATGATGAAACACACACAGTCGCACCATTCATAACAGAAGGTAAAATTGCTTAAAATGATCCCATCGATATCATGATGAATCCAAATGCAATCAAGTGATTGAAATCACGACACGTGCACCATTTTTGTTCTAAAGATTTCTTGGATTTTGTAGGCCAGAGAATATTAAGTACTCTAGTGCTCGTGTACCTGCTCCCTGCACTTAAGTACCCCGTTCCGTTTAGTACACCATTCTAAGAAACACCCTACAATCAAATTGCAATCATAGTTATACAATGTATGCACGCATGATAACAGTTCTTGATCCGGTTTTACAAAAACACGCCGAAAGCTCCAAAATTGGTCTTCAGTTGCACACCTTATGTCCAAACTAATTTAGTTCAAGATGAACCCATAATAGTCCAGTAAGTACGGTAAATTCTCAATCTTTTCAATGGGAAAATTTGTGAATTTTACAGATACTGTATTAAAAGCCATAATAATTTTGAAATTAGAACATTCCTATTGTGTGGTAACAAAAATGAGAATTAAGCAGGCTTTCTTATAGTTTTATTCTGTACAGAAAAAGCAAGCACCACAAATGCTTCACAGAAATATATTTTAATGATTCCAAAATTATGTATCTGAAAAAAAAAAGATCATTTTCCCCATGTAAAAGATCGAGTCATTACATGAAACACAAAGCACGTCTCTGTTGTTATAAAACAGACGCAATACAATGGGGTTACAACTGTTTTACCTTGGGTAAAAACAGATCTTTTTTTTTTCTAATAGAAGTTGAGACCAGTTTTGGAATAAAATGTGCCTTTGAAACAGGCCCCTCGAGCTAGAAATGCTTCAAAATCACGCGATTTTCCGTGCACACCTGCTGCAATGCTTCCAATCAGGGGCCCGTAGCTCTGAAGCATCGTGTATTGGAAAAGCGATATCACATAGAGGCTACAGTGTATTATATGGGGCAAGTATGAGCATGGAATGGAATCGGTCGCAATGCGCGATGCTTTCGAGTTACGGGGCCCTGCTCTCGGTAAATGCCAATGGCACTGTTAAAGCAATCCAGGCCAGGGTTTTGAACACCTATTAAGTGCACGAATTGCTACTTGTTAAACGTATCTGCGGGACTTTAAAAACATATATTGACAGGTAAATGGTCTTCATCGATAAAGCAAAAAAAAAAAAAATCATTAAATTTAAGTTTTGGTGGGAAAATACTGGCTTGGAATGCTTTAATCACTACTGTTAAGTAGTAAAAGATCGTTTTTATTGTATAATGGTCTCAGCACCATCAGCATCAAAACGTTATACAATGGAATCAGCACCATAAGTGTTATGCAACTTCTCAATAACCTAGCACCGTAATTGTAATATATACATGTACCAATACATATTCTCGTCACCAGGTGCACCGTAAGTGTTATACAATTTCTCAGCAGCATCAGCACCAAAAGTCGTGCACTGAACACAATTAGCAAACTTAAATATTTTATACGTAATGTAAAAGATTTGTTGATAAATCAATAATTATTTAACAAATTACCAAAACATTAATTTCGAACGGAATGCTGTGTTTTCCAGGGAGTCATTCGTTCAGCTTATTTGTGATATGGGCACTGAAGGCTCGCTGACTGCCAAAGGAGAAGATCCTGCTGGTTCGGCACAGTATGTAAGTCTCTCTCCTTCTCTCTCTCTCTCTCTCTCTCTCTCTCTCTCTCTCTCTCTCTCTCTCTGACCAAACACGCTGGCAAACCGAATTATGATAATCTGCCACAGTATATTTGTTAAAGTAATTAGAAGTAAATGATATCATTTATCTATTATAGTTAACTGACCAACTCGTGTCGTGCCTCGGTGTCTAAATTTAAAACTTATCATCTTTGTTATAATATTGCGTATTTCATTTTAATCACTATCTTGTGTTATTCATTTTATTCTCCCCCTAATTATCATCCAGTACATGACGTTAACGAGCAAGTACGCATGCCCAGGAGTGTCCGGCGGTGGTATTAGTGCAGGCAGTGTACTGCTCATCGTGTAAGTAAGGAGACATTCAGAACATGTTGATCCGCGAATTAAAAAGATCCGCAGATCACATATGGCTGACCCAGTTGAAGGCTTGCTGCATAATCCCCTGATAGACTCCTACCGGGCATTACGTGGTTAGCTTTCAAGTGGGTCGGCCATATTTAATCCGCGGATCTGTTAGTCCGCGGATCAACTTCTGTTGTGAATGCATCCTAAGACTGACAACGCGGCGGGCTCTGATGGACGGCCGCATTTGGTCTAAATGACGTCACAGATATTTATTGTAAGCAAGCATGCACCCGCAAAGAATAATGCCATGCAGTTAACTTTTGCGTCGTGGTCAGGCGTTGTGGTTACTATACCGCTTTGATTCCAATGCACTCTGATGGAGACGTCGGTTTAACTGAAGCGGCGCTAACGGGGATAGAAAGAGTTTTAGTAATGCTAAATAATTGTTGTAAATTTAATAATGGACAATTTAAGACAGATTCTGAAATTAGAACAGAGCTACATGTACATTCACACGCACCAGCCGACCGAGCGCTTTACTATGAATTTACAGAAATTGTCGATTGCAAAGATGTAGATCCATACATGTAATGTTGCTCCCAATTTTTGACCACCTTCTGTCTAGTAAGATGTTGTCTTTCTCTTTCAGTTTCTTCAGTTTAGTAGTCGTATACATTTTAGCTGGCATGGCCGTTATGAAGTTCGGCAAAGGTGCAGCAGGGAGAGAACTCATTCCCAATTATAGCTTTTGGAAAGGTCTCCCGTTTTTGATACGGGTAAGAGAGCGAGGGGGCGTGCGAGGCTGACTCAAGGGTACTGTTAGGGTTAGCCTAAAATCCTTATATTTACTGCCTTACACATTATTTTGGATATGAGATAAATCATCAGTTTTCCCTGACTAAATTCCTGAGCATTTACACAAATGTCATCTTAGGGGTGACGTCATAATTGCGATTTGGGGGTAAAAAATCGGTTGCTCAAATTTCTGTTTTACCTGCGCACTCACGAACACCGGTTGAACACCAATTTTATGACACTATTGAGTACTTCAAAAAGCTGCCAGCTACTTTTTTTAAAGCCTTAGTTCAGATATTATTGTGTCATCATTTGGGCCAATTTTCGTGATAAGATATTGTTCAGGGATGGAGTTAAAACCCACACTAATAACGTTGGTTTTATTCACCTCCAAATATGAAAGTGTTAAACTGACGAAAAACGTTTTGAAATGCCTAGTAACAAGCCGTAGCAACAAGAAATATAAAAGTCGATGTTTTATATTTTCGAAGGTTTTTTTATTGATTTTAATCAGCACAAAATTAGATGCATAATTCAATAATTTGATGCGCGGGAAAAAAACCGATTTTCGGTATCTGGATGATTATAAACCCTTACAGTACCCTTCACGTTAGTAATGAAAAAGCTATAGTGAAATGAAAATGAGCCAGCCAAATTGAATTATCCCATTTTAACCAATTTCCACTCCTTGGATAGAATTATTATTTAAAATCTTTACTTTTCCAGTTTCTTTCTACTATTAAAACGTACAAGTAGATTATAACCACACTGTGTAATGGCACATAATCTCCATACCTTTCTCTTTTTTACACAGGATGGCATTATGTTTGTAGTAGGAGGATGCAAGCCAAAGAAAGGGTACGACTCCATATAGAATCTGAACATTTTGGACAAAATTGATGAAAAATTATAGCAATAAGTGAAAAAGGAGCCAGAATTGTCTACATCAGTCTGTAAGTGCAAGCAAATATAAGGAAATGATCACTGAAGATCACAAGAAACAGCAACAATGTATGGAACTGTCTCAGTTGTTGCCATGGAAGCATACGTTGCCATGGGAATCTTGAACGGAGAAGACAATGTAGTAGACGGTTTTGTTATTATATCTGATATCAGGGACTATCGTGAACGTTTTGACATTAGGATACAATACAATCAATACACTTTATTGTGAAATTTTACAGATTTCTGCAGGCCTTTTTGTACATAGGGTTCAAAGGGAGTTTCCACTTTTTGGCAATTCCTAGTAAATCCCACATTGCTTTCTTTTGAATGCCCATCAGTATCAGTACAAATCACTTTAGTACAGGAGGATAAAACTCAACTGTGGTGTATTTTCTCTTAATATTTCAAAAGGGGCTCCAGAAAATGTCTATTGTAATAAAATGTCTCAGTACCCAAGTGAAAAAATCTAATAACTTAGACTAGGAAAACAGTATGAGCTCAGTGACGCCTTAAAATGGTTTTCTTTGTGACAAATCTACATTCTAGTGACAGAATAAACATGTTTTTATAACAATCATTTATTTTATCATGTGCTTGCATCTGATCATCTGGAAATTGTACACAGACATAAGACAATGTAACAATATAATACTTCATATTTTGAAGAGAAATAAGAAGAGATGTTGGATTATCACTGCTTTTATCTCCGGCATACTTATATTAATAAGTTAATGATTTTAGTTGGGGCAATGTGCAAAAAGCATTTTTCCTTCTTTACAATCAAACTGCAGATATACAGAAAGAAAGAAAATATTAATTCTCTTTTATATTTATACAGCTTCAATTAAATGCTGAAAGAGGAAAAATTCTTCTACATCTTACTAACACATGAGTTTTTCTTCACACTCACATATTCCACTCTTCTTTTTCAGTATGTTTTCACAATCCCATCACAAAAGCTTAAAGTGCATTAAAGGGAATGCACAAGGGATTATGACGGATAAGTACTTTGGACCTATCTTTCCTTGGGTCATCCAAAATTTCCGAACTCCAAACTCAAAATTGCCTTTCAACCATATTTGAGAGCCACCATTTTCCTTCACTCTGCTAAAAGAAAGAGTAACTGTTACAGGCTGCAGTAAATTCAACACTATAAAATGAAAATGATGTCATCAGGCATTTGTGTATGTCATCTAAAACAAACAATAAAGCTTCAAGACAATGACGTTTTCATATAAAATGCTTTAAGGTACCATGCACAAAAGCAGTATTGTCAGACTTCTATGTCAACTCTTGATACACATGACACATTTGATGTCATAGTATTTAACACTTTAAGAGTTTCTAGAAAGTCATTTGCATTTTTAAAAATTCTCACTATTGCACATGATCAAAACCATGCCTCCGTAACACAGCACGTGTACGAGCACATGCTGTAGATTCTGGCAGGAACACTTCTAAGAGTGACTTCTCCTGTTGCTTACACCTTTAATATCATCATGACAATTTTAGTGTATATAGCACTCTATCCCTCAACACCCTGCTGTCACTAGGAATTAACAAGTTANAACAGTTTACTGCCATTTTTATATGATAAACTAAGAAAATTGATGAGATGGGAAAAATATCAATAGAGCAGTGCTAAATGTCCAATTTCTTCCATTCTGAGATTCTGAACATAGTGAATGATTGAATCTGACAAACTGCAATGATATGAGTTTATTTCCTTTTTTGAAACTTAATTACACAATACATGATAAAAAGCTTACCATCATTTTTACATAATCAACTAATAATGTTGTAAAGATGCAGGAAATGTCAACCAAACACTTTAACATGTCTTATTAGTTAAATAATGAGACTGTTAACATGCCTAAGAATTAATTCTGAGGAAATGTGAAACAAGACAGCACTGTTCTGACACGGGTTTATTTCCATTTTTAACACTTTTTTTAACATGAAACAAAATACACAGTTTACTGCAATTTTTATATGATCAACTAAGAAAATTGATGAGATGGGAAAATATCAATAGAATAGTATCAAATGTCCATTTTCCTCCATTCTGAGATTCTGAACATAGTGAATGATTGAATCTGACAAACTGCAATGATATGAGTTTATTTCCATTTTTGAAACTTTATTACACAATACACGATAACAAGTTTACCATCATTTTTACATAATCAACTAACAATGTTGTAAAGATGCAGGAAATGTCAAACAAACACTTTTACGTATCTTATTAGTTAAATAATGAGACTGTTAACATGCCTAAGAATTGAATCTGAGGAAATGTGAAACAAGACAGTACTGTTCTGACATGGGTTTATTTCCATTTTTAACACTTTTTTTAACATAAAACAAAATAAACAGTTTACTGCAATTTTTATATGATCAACTAAGAAAATTGATGAGATGGGAAAAATATCAATACAACAGTGTTAAATGTCCAATTTCCTCCATTCTGAGATTCTGAACATAGTGAATGATTGAATCTGACAAACTGCAATGATATGAGTTTGTTTCCATTTTTGAAACTTTATTACACAATACACGATAACAAGCTTACCATCATTTTTACAAAATCAACTAACAATGTTGTAAAGATGCAGGAAATGTCAAACAAACACTTTTACGTTTCTTATTAGTTTAATAATGAGACTGTTAACATGCCTAAGAATTGAATCTGAGGAAATGTGAAAAATATGCTGAAAAGTGAAAAAACAGCATAACTTCTACAATAATGGCCCGATCATGCTGATTTTCGAACTTGACCTGCGTTTTATGAATATTCATCAGCTCTGTAAATATAAAGCCAAAAAGTAAAACTGCCCTCCACTTATCATGTTTAAAAGGAAAGTGCACGGCGCCGGCATCGGCATCAGCATCGCCATCGGCGACGACAGACGCAGGTGATGGCAATATGTACAGACACATCTGTGTCTGTACATAAAAATAAATAAATAAATAAATTAAACAACCCTTACAACTGTAAAATAATTTTAAAACATTCAGTCACCTTACCTAGGTAGATTATTTGACTTTCCCCATTTCTCTATACAGAACTTCCTGGGTCCATTGCTCCCTCTTAGTGCTGAGAACCCTTCATAAGGAATACTGGATGTCCCCGTCACAAACTGCAGAATGAAAGAAAATATTGTCATCATGGTGCTTGCCTTATCAGAAATGATACCAGACCTTTGAAAAAATCCAGAAATTCCAAGCACTGAAGGCAAGCTATGACAGCTCTGTATGGGGACTTGAAGGTCACAAAATACAACTGTGTTACACTAATTTTTTTTTTTATTTTTGAATAAATCTGGCAGACTTATGAGTAAAATAGCATTTGATAAAGTTGGTTTTATCTCAAAATTTTCTAAAAGATAATGCAATATAACACTGAAGTTGAACTTAAATACCAAAATAATTCTTATTTAAAATCAACCAATATCAAGGAATTTTCTTATCAAGGATATTCTTATCACCATTCAGCAGTGAAAGAATACAACAGTACTATACTCACGTCAAAATTCCACATGAAAGAAAAAATATTAAATATGAAGTTGTGCTAACACTTATTGGGAAAACATGCACCTCACCTGTAATAGTCTGAGTCTCCTTTCATTGTCAAACCTCTCTACTGCCATCCAGAACCAGCGGATTACTTGATGATTGTCATGGTAACCTGAAATAATAAGTGACATTTAGGTTATTCACAACCATTATTTTAACTTCACATCTTCAATGCTGCAACATACTGTCACACCAAACACAGTAACATGTAATGAACAGTCACATCTAACACANCCCTCCACTTCGTGTTTAAAAGGAAAGTGCACGGCGCCGGCATCGGCATCGCCATCGCCATCGGCGACGACAGACGCAGGTGATGGCAATATGTACAGACACATCTGTGTCTGTACATAAAAATAAATAAATAAATAAATTAAACAACCCTTACAACTGTAAAATAATTTAAAAACATTCAGTCACCTTACCTAGGTAGATTATTTGACTTTCCCCATTTCTCTATACAGAACTTCCTGGGTCCATTGCTCCCTCTTAGTGCTGAGAACCCTTCATAAGGAATACTGGATGTCCCCGTCACAAACTGCAGAATGAAAGAAAATATTGTCATCATGGTGCTTGCCTTATCAGAAATGATACCAGACCTTTGAAAAAATCCAGAAATTCCAAGCACTGAAGGCAAGCTATGACAGCTCTGTATGGGGACTTGAAGGTCAAGGAATTTTCTTATCAAGGATATTCTTATCACCATTCAGCAGTGAAAGAATACAACAGTACTATACTCATGTCAAAATTCCACATGAAAGAAAAAATATTAAATATGAAGTTGTGCTAACACTTATTGGGAAAACATGCACCTCACCTGTAATAGTCTGAGTCTCCTTTCATTGTCAAACCTCTCTACTGCCATCCAGAACCAGCGGATTACTTGATGATTGTCATGGTAACCTGAAATAATAAGTGACATTTAGGTTATTCACAACTGTTATTTTAACTTCACATCTTCAATGCTGCAACATACCGTCACACCAAACACAGTGACATGTAATGAACAGTCACACCAAACACAGTAGCATGTAATGAACAGTCACACCAAACACAGTGACATGTAATGAACAGTCACACCAAACACAGTAGCATGTAATGAACAGTCACACCAAACACAGTAGCATGTAATGAACAGTCACACCAAACACAGTAACATGTAATGAACAGTCACACCAAACACAGTAACATGTAATGAACAGTCACACCAAACACAGTAACATGTAATGAACAGTCACACCAAACACAGTAACATGTAATAAACAGCCACACCAAACACACTG